TTCCATGAAAATGATAGCTTTGGGGAAGAATAATTATTTGTAAAAGGTGTCCTCATCCTGGACAAATGATTACTGTATTGGTTTATAGTTTAGAAGGGCGCATACTACCTGTTTATGTACCACTCTAGCAGTGTTTTTAACTAAAATGAAATGGGAAGTAAAAATACTATTTGTTTTTTTGGGTAATTACATTCATGTGTTTATTAATCCATAATTTGCTGTGGAACACGAACCATTTTTATTTTTTCTGTCATTGTTAAATGTTTGTAGGTGGAAGCAGAGTTTGCACGCATCACTACTGTCCCACTAAGATCCAAGTTCATGCAGCAGCTAGATCACCACTCTTCCCAGCTGATAAAAGTTTTGCGAAGAAAAGGAGGAGCTGCTGGACAAAAAATTAGGAATATCTTTGCAGAAAAGGTGTGTTTCTAACAAGTGTTCAGGAATATTTTGCAGATTCAATTTACTTTATTATTATTGTGCAGTTGTATTACTTCTGTATGCGACAAAATGATATCTGGTGGATGAACATATTTATTCAGACAGCTGTTCACACGATTTAAATATTCTTGATTTCTTTATCTAGTGCCCTTGTACACTGATGGTTGGAACTATTTGCATATCCGTTTATACTTAAATGCAGAAAATCTGACTATTATGTACTGTAAATGTGTCTGTTAGAACAGAAACATTTTACCTTGATCTCCCAACTAAATGCTAAGATCATTTGAGTCATCTTGGGGTCTGTTTACACCTGGCATTAACAAGTGTTTTGTATCCGGAGAGTATCTGGATATACTTACGGATTCTGTTTACCCTTGTCAGTAAAATGCGTCCCCAGAGTGAACACACAAGATCCGATTTTACTTCTCCGTAAAAAGCACACCACTGCGTACGTTTGTTTTTCTACCTGTAAACAACAGTTTCTCATCAAAATTATCCTTCTCATTGAGCCTGTGAGCAGTTTAGAATAATAGTGTGGGTTCTCCAATGCAGTGGAACAGTAGAAGGTCCTAATATTCCAGTAATGGCTGAATCAGAAAACCTGACGATCTATTTAAACCACAAGGGAAAAAAGTTACTGCTCTCATCTACTGGTAAGCGCAAGCACGGACACACACACACAGCCGAGCAAGAGAGAGAGGGCGTGAGGGATAGAGAAGCCAAGATCTACAGTAATAGTTACTCGTATTAATGTTTTTTCGACCAACGTATGTCCACTTGCCTGACAGAATCCGATCACAGAAGACGAATTCTGTTTATACTTGTATTAAATGTTGACTGGATCTGTCTCGGACCACCTCCAAATGTGGTTTGAGTGATCCAATCGTAAACTGTTCACAATGCATCTTGGTGTTTACACCTTGCTTTTCATGTGGACAAGCAACACCGAACATGATCTGATCACCAAAAACGCATGTTAATGCCAGGTGTAAACAGGCCTTCGATGACTGTGTCCTGATTCTGATGGGCACCTTATTCATTCTGTTTCAAGTTTTCATGAACACTACTTAACATACTGTATCTTTTATTAATTCAATAAGTACCTTTCTACAATACGTTGTTTATTGTACTGTAACTTGCAATATATAATTATTTGCTAATTATAACTAGTTACCACAAGTAATTATGAAACACTTACATTACAGGTGCTTGTGTTATTAGAATGTGTGTCCCAAATCATGCCACAATAATATGTGGCCAAACACTGCCTGTAAATTGGCATGACAGTTTGCTTGTGTGGTGATGCATCTCTGCTGTTAAATGCTGCACAATACAACATTATAACCACTTATACATTTCTCTTGTTCTTTGCTGCAGAATGACGCCATTGAAACAAAAAGAGCTTGCATACTGAAGGCAATGATTGTTTACCTCAACGAAGACCCTGAAAACCTCATAAGGGAGTATCTTGTAAGTATTTTGGCCTCTTTCGCTCTTCGCTTTTTCCACAGAATTACTTTTTCTGTCTGTGCTTGTTGGGGCTGTTTCTAAACAAACTAACATGAATAAACTCAAAATAAAGGAACATCACCCAGTGCAGTGGTGTGACTCATTGGCTTGTTTTTGATAGCTTTTGGGCAACAGTGGCGGTCTATGGTACAGAAAAATAAGATATACCAGGCTTTGATTACACACACACAATGCTTGTTAGTAGATCAGTTAATTGTTGGTTTGACTCCAAACATATTTGTTGACAATAAGAAAAATATAGAAAATTGCCATGCTTGCTTCAGCTGAGAGAAGAGATACTTGCCACACTTGCATATTAAAATCATAACATTATTAGCAGCAGTTTCTGGAATATTCGAAGGTATGATTTATGGATGTTCTGTTGACAACAGGTTTTTTTTGTGGCTTGTGCATGTTTTGGCTTAAGGTCTATTTGTTCTATTTTTGAGGATGTTGGGGACAACCAGGAGATGGAGCAGACAATTCTAGGAATCTTTGCCATAAAGAAGGAAGGTGCAGAACCTACAGATGAGCTGGAAGATGTTGGAATAATCATCAAAGGTGTGGAAGTGCTTCGCGACCTTGGTAACGTTGCAAATGCAGTCGCTGTTTTATTTGGCCTCATGTACACATTGGACTTGAGCTGCCCAACCAATCTTAAGTACACATTTGAGGTTCTACAAAAACTTGTGATGGAACTGGATGGCAGACATCTCTCAAGAAGGGCTCAAGTGCTAAAAAACAAACTGTTTGAAGGGACAATGTAGACATGAAATTGCAAGTGAGTGTGGAGCCTTTTAGTTGAATGCTCTGAGGTGACAGGGAAGGAGGCTTGGAGCTAGGGCAATCAAAATAAACAATCTTTTTGGATCCATATGTTGAACTGTCATGATTATTCGTTGTAAGATGTGACATGCTCTTTGTTTCTAATGCTTGATGTCTGAATGTTTTAACAGACTTAATGTTCACAAAAGAGAGACGGGATGAGCTTAACAGTTAAAAACTATGTTGGGTTGCATTTTTATGTCCATAAAAAAATGGATATAAAAAAAAATAACAGAATGGTGTAAATGAGTGGGCAATAAGAGATTTACTGGAAAAATAGCAAGAATATGAGGGTAAGAGAAACTTTGTGACGTACAGCGATATTGAGTGAGCTTGGAGCAAAAGCCATTGGCACCAAATTAAGATGCATATTTTGCATTACTGTTTGTGATCTCTTTAGCGTGACATGTTGGTTTAAACATGTACTGTTTTGATAATGTTCTGGCTGTGTGATGCACTTTCTGAATTTTTTTTTGTTGTTGTTTTTGGTTTTAACACTACTAAAGTGGCAAGGGAAAAATGATTTTTTTATTTAGTTATTTTATTTTGAAATATTTCCTATGTGACATTACATTGGTTCACTCTTTATTTGAATATTGTTTTCTGTTTACCCTAATTTCATATTGACATAAAGAGATTTTAGATTTTCAATTGAAATTTCCAGTGAAAATGTATTTTGCAAACTAAAAAACTTAGTGGGGATCTGAATTTACAGTTTTCTTAAATTAAACTTTTTTTCAAAAGTTATTTAAATATTAATTTTCAACTGTTTTCATTCTGCCCTCTGTTGGAAAGCTTACGTTTTTGGTCTGGGCAAGTCCCATTCTGTTGATACAGCTACAGTGATTGATTTCAATTTACTGTGTGGATTTTTTTTTGACAGGTTTAGTAAGTGTACTTAAAATTACTACCATTGTTAAAATGAAAAACAGCTAAGTAAAATGAAATTCAGTAGTTGCCCCAATTATTTAAGCCAGTTAGGTTGGAAGGATGAAGTATAGTTTAGTTAATCTTATTAAACACAGTTGAGTATCGGTGGTCCAACATCGTTACATTTACATAAGTGAGTTAAGTCGGTATAATGAAATATCTCTCTGTTGTCATTAATCAGCACAATTAAGTAAAACAAAAGAAAAAGCACTTTGTTGAGTTTATGTTGGTCAGTTTAGTTGGCTACACACAAACCTATTAATTAAAACCAAGCTAACCATATTACAGTCATGTTGGTTTACTAAGTTGGTATTTGATGTTTAATAATATGATTTAATTATATCTAACACAACTCAGTTTAGTGGAAATTGTTGATATAACTGGATTAAGTAAATCCAACAAATTATTTTTTTGAGTGTAGTGCTGTTGTAGCTGATCAGGCATGTTTGGGGTCTGAAGTTTGCTTCTTTAGCTTTAGCACAGGAGCTACGAGGCTAATGTAGCTAATATAATGTCCCACCAATTAGCATGGTGCTAACTGCATGTCTAAATCATCACCTCAGACTGTGTGTTAAGCTACATGAGCATCTAGATATTGAGATCCAGATACGGCTGGATGATTTAATCACACTGTCATGATATCAGAGCTGATAACACCATATAATACAACACACACTGAACAGTACTGCCCCCACTTTGTTGGTGCCTTTTAAAGAAATTCCTACACCTGATTAATCCCACTTTACGCCCTGATTAAAACTGTAGCTGTGATAAAAATAATAGCAATAAAAACAAAAAAGAATCTTTAGTGCTTTTAATTTTAGTTGCAGCATCTTTTGTGGAACAGAATAGAAAACAATAGAAATGAATCAATTAATTATCAATGAATAAAAATAATAATTTTGTTAAAAACTTCAGTTCATCATTAGTTTGGACACAAACTTTAGGAATCACCTGTGGGGGAAATTTGAATGGACCTACGTTATCAGTGTCACCCTTAAGGCGACAGGTTGATTTATTTTTAATAAGGCGCATCTATGAATTCATATATTGAGGCCACAAATATTGACTTAACTCGTGGCCTCGTGTATTAGTTTCGCCTTATTAAAAATAATCACCATTTTCAGCTCCCGGGCTCCGCAGGATCAGAGCACACAGACTTCATCTGTGAGGGAAAGTTGAGTGGACCTGAGTGATCATAGCACGCAGACTTCATCTGTGAGGGAAAGTTGAGTGGACCTGAGTGATCAGAGCACGCAGACTTCATCTGTGAGGGAAAGTTGCGTGGACCTGAGTGATCAGAGCAGCGCTTCCTCAGTGAAGACCAAACCGAAAGTAACTCTGAGGAAAGTGACGGTAACATGTCGCCATCATAGTCCGAGAGAAGATCCCCCAGATCAGCGCTCTGGACTCAACACGGTGAGATTATTCAGCACAGAAATGAGGAATACTGACTGAGATTAAAGCAGGACCGGGTGTTGGTGTTTCCTCCCGGTTTAAACCCGTTTTAATCCGAACTCAGAACTGGACTAAACTCCTCCTCCGAGCTACAAAATGTCTGCCGGCCAAAGACGGTGACGCAGTTCTTATTGAGCTGAAAGGACTGAAAGGTTTCAGTATAAACAGGTTTAACTGTAGAGAAACGCTGTAAAGCTGGATTTACTGAAGGATCCGCGATCAGCGCTGCTTCACATTCAGCTCTGCTCCTGTTTTAGTCCGATAAACACCAGACTGACTGATTACTGTAGAGCCCGCTCGCGGAAGGAGCGGCTGCGCGCTCGAGACACCTCGATCCTCCATTTTCTCGTGTTGACGCCGCAAAAAATCACCCGGGTTTATAAATATACATATATAAATATATACATTTTAAACGGATTTTATGGATAAATGAGCCGCAGTCAGGAGAGAGAGAGGAAAATAAACACACAAATCATCAATCAGTAAGTAAATAAATAAATCATAAGTTTTAAAAGTCTTGGCTAATGCAAATAGTGACGTGCCTGGGGCGCGTGAGAGAGAGAGAGAGAGAGAGAGAGAGAGAGAGAGTAATTTTTATTAATAAATCTTTAACTAATCATTATTAGTATGAACAGATAATTAATCTGAGTTTGAACCTTTACAGTTGTTTACAGATGATGGTCCACATAGTTGTTTATGAGTGTATTCATATTTATAAATGACAGTTTGCAGTCGTATGTAAAAGTTTGTGCACCCCTGGTCAGATTCCATGTTGTTGATGTTCTGAGTGTAAATAAGTTACAGATCATCTACAGAGACTCAGTACTGCACATTTTAATACACAACTGCTGATTATTTGCTGAATTTAACAGACAGGGTAAAAAATTAAATATAAAATGTGATCTGGGCAAAAGTAATACAGGTTTAAAATGTTTTCATGTTTAATGTTTAAATTAAAATGGTCAGTCTCATAAAGCTTATGATTATAAGTTTATCACTGAGGATTTGGTCAGGGGAGTAAAATTTTAGAGCACATGTAGAAACACACACTGTTGTGATGCTTTGCTTTATTTGATAATGTTATATTCTTTTTAATTATATAATAGAAGACGGCCTATTTTCTCAGCCACTGCTTGTGGAAGATAAACAACATTCAGATTAAAATATTTCACAAATATGAAATATTTCGAGTCACTATCAAAGTCAGTCTTTACATCAGTGCAAAACTAGGATATGCAAATGAAGACAGCTGTTCATCAGCATGCAGCTTAATACCTGTACCAAAAAATAAAAAGAGTGCAACCAAATCATGTGCTGCTGTGACCATCTGAGACAGTTGATAGCACCAGTATGACCAGTGGAAAGTTAGCAGCTGGCAACTTTACATAAACATATTCATGACTGAAAAACCCAATAAATAATAAAATTTTGACTGAAACACAACCAGAGGGCTCACAGCGCCCCCTTCTGAAGGTGCAGGGAAAAACTTCGCAGGGCTGAGTTGGCGACCTCAGGAAGTTGGTCACTTAACTTTTAAAGTTCAGTAGATACACCTGGAAAAATCTGTAGATCTGTAAAAATGAGTAGGTGCTTAATTACATGGACAGATGAAGTAGATTACAATTACGAGTAAGATATGCTGTCAATAATGACTGTAATATGATTTAGTATCATACAAAGAGACATGACACGATATCTAACAACAGCTTAATATAACACCTGCTTTATCCCAAAATTATATATATATATATATATATATATAAACCACGAGGGATGAAAAATAAGCCGAGAGGAAGTCATGATACACAGGAGACTGTACTGTTACATACAGTATTCAAAACTGGGCTCTAATTCTAATTTCATTTGTCCAAATTATTCACATTTCATTCATACCTGGTGTGGAAAAATATTTATGGAATATTCACATTCCCATAAGACTTCGCTCTGGGAGCGTGAAAGCACTGTGGGAAGAAAACTGAACAGAGAAAAAGACACTGATGAATCTAATTTAACACCACATGAGACAGAACATAAACACACAGGCCATCACTACTACTGTTACACCATGAGGCTCACTAACCCCCCGTGCAGCTAATGGTGGCTAACCTAATTTCACTGCGTTACTGAGCTAAAACGTCAACTAGCTGGGCTAATGTTTAATGCAGTTTATAAGCTTAGATAGAATGGTACCACTTTAAAATAAGACTATCCTTATAAAACGTTTATGAATGGTTTACAATCAGCTTATTAATGGTTATTAATTAGGCCATAAACACCTTAAAAATCATTATTAAGCAGTTATAACAAAAAAAGGGCACCAGTGATCTGTTATTGGCCTAATAGTGAACCTGCATTCATTTATATACACACTTAAAACGGATGTTTTTTAAGGGTTCTTTAGTAAAAAAATGGTTCTATGTAGAAACATGAACACTCCAAGTACCCGTTGCATGATTAAAGGGTTCTTCGCATCATGAAAGGGTTCTTTAGAGTAATGGAGAATGTGCTGAAAAGGGTTCTAAATAGCACCAAAAAGGTTCTGCTATTGTTGTGATGTCAGGCTTGTTACAATAGAAGAACTCTTTTTGGTGCTATATAGAACCCTTTTTAAAAAGGTTCTATTCTCCATCAATCTGACAAACCATTTCATGATGGGAAGAACCCTTTAATCATGCACAGGGGTCTTTGAGTGTTCATGGTTCTATATAAAAAACAAATTCCTTTACTAAAGAACCCTTAAAGAACCATCATTTTTAAGTGTGTAGATAAACTGCAGTTCATGCAGTTTTCCCCTTTTATTAATGTGTTATAACTGTTTACTGATGATCTTTAAGGTGTTTATGACCTGATTAATAACCAATAATAATTCATTCTAAACCATTCATAAACCACTTATAAGGGTCGTCTTATTCTAAAGTGGTACTGATAGAACTGAGCCTGATAAAAGTCTGTCTAGGGAGTTCTGGCCTTACTTTGTGCGTCAATCTTACTGTTTACTGAAAGCCGTGTCCGAGTCTAAATCGGAGCTGCCCGAGTCCACCGTGTTGGCTGGGTTAGTCCTGATTTCCAGTGAATATTCTCAGAAAGCTTTGTTTAGTGAGAGAGAATGTTATGGTTACATAAACTAAGTGTTCTTTAATTGTTAAACAAAGGAATAAAAGTTAGTACAACTCAAAGAACTTTGCTCAGGAATAGTTGTACGTTTTAGTACAACAAATGTTCTTAGATATTTATTTTAGCACCGACAAAAAAATCTCAGTCAGTAGATTGAGTGAAGTTTTTTGTTGTTGTTGCGCTAAAATGTTTTATAGTCTAAGTGCTTTGAGGATTCTGCCCCAGTTTTCAATACAGTTGTTCAAAAAAGATGAACGTTTCAAAAAAATTACCTCCAGCAACCTCAACCCCCCACCACCACCACCACTTCTCTCCTTATATCTGTTCTCTTTCTGAGATTCTTTTAGGTTCTTTCATGGTTTATTACTGATTTATCCATCTAGTATTGATGTAGCTGATCAGCCAAGACATGTTTGAAGTGTGAAGTTTGCTTCTCTAGTTTTAGCACTGGAGCTATAAGGCTAATGCAGCTAACTTGTAATGGAAGTCGGGACAGAGGAGGAACAACAAGCCTAGGAGGACGCATATATATATATATATATATATATATATAAACCATTACTTACATTCGGTCTGAAATGCTGTTATTAAAATAAACCTAAGATTTCAAAAACAGCCACTGTAGTCAGCTCCCATTTAATTTCTGCACTTCATTTATTTTGTTTAGCTTTGTGCTGCATTTGAACAGTCATGTGTGTTGAGTTTTCATGTTCCCCCCATGTCTGCGTGGGTTTTTTGTTATGGACTGAAATCTTGTCTCGTGTACGAGACCCTCGAGACTGGCACCAAAGAACTTCTATAACCCAGGCGATGGCAGGTGGTTACTGGAAAGATGTGTGGCTATATGTGGTCCATAAAAACCTAACAGTGAATCAGCTCATAAAACAGTAAGTCTAACTGCGTAAATTAAAATGGGTTCATGAACTGCAATGTTGTAACAATGAACCGCTTAAACTCCTTAGAACTTATTTGAAGTGTTTGGACCACTAGTCTGTGTGGTTCCTCGCTTTTCTCGATGTCTAACATGAATTATTGAGCTAAATTATACCATTCTCAGTGTCCAATGCTGCAGACAGGGAGATCCGTCTAAGGGCTGAGACACTGAGAATGGTTTAATTTAGCTCAATAATTCATGTCAGAGTTTATTTACTTCTTAACCAGACACAAACTTGAAGATCTCTAAATCTGAGGAATGCTGACACTACCTAACATCACTCATCCTGTCTGTGACATTAAGTAAGGTAACGTTAGCTAGCTAACCTAGCTAACTACAACACTGGGAACGAGCTAACGATTTACCTTCATAATATCATAAATAAACTGCTCAAAAAAGAATTTATATCCCTTACCGAGTTTTGCACGTTTGATGCTCGATAGCTCTTCCACAATTCTGACCACATCGTCCTGCCTAAAGCGGGAGTTCAGCCAAAGATGATGAACAATGAAACGCAGCCATATTCTTAGTGGAGCGGCGCAGAAATACATTTACACATAACCTCCCCCGGAACTTGACCCCTCCTCCGTGCGTGAAAAACACCAGTGGAGACAGCGGCAGTGAAAAACTCCCTCAGAGCAGCATAAAGAAACCTTGAGAGGAACCGAGACTCAGAAGGGGAACCCATCCTCCTCTGGACCACACTGGACAGCAAACAGCGCTAGAGTCAAATATTAGAATATAAAACGGGAAAAAAGGCGGAGCAATGGGTAATCAGACAGTCTGAGTTCAGAGCAGCAGGGTCAGTTCAGGAGGGTGAGGACTGGACAGTGGTGGACAAAAATAATCATATTAACTTTAAAATGTAAACTGTCTGTTCATTCAGGTTCACTGAGTGTAACAGTGATGTGAGGAAACGAGCTAAGAATTTTAAGCACGGCTTTATTGTAGGAGCAGAATTTTTATTTTTACTTTCTGTTTCAGTTTCTTGTTCTGTTTGTTTGTTTTGATGGTTTATTTCATCACAGCTGATCATCAAAGCTGAATCTTAATGCTAAATAAAAAGTAACTGAACATTTTAGAGGTAAATTAAAACTCTGAGTGATGATCTGTCAGAGTATTCAGCTCTACAGTGAACTGATCTGAGCCCAGATCTTTACAGGCCCAGCCAGTGTCCTCCCATCTGTCCACTACAGAGAGGAGAAGGAAAAGCGTTTATCTTCTAAATTACGTTTCCACCAGGTGCATGATGGGAAATAATCTAAAAATGTAGTTGCAGTCCTGCAGATATTGACCCTGCAGGATCCCCAGACTCTGAAAAATCACAGTGTGTGGCTGAAACTCTGTGACAGTGTGTTCAGATGTGAGTCTGTCAGTCTTTAAAGTGTTTTCAGAGTTTCTGCTGTACAGTCAGTATAAGATGCTGTTATGGATGTTATCAGTGCTGCTCATGCTGTCTGTGTGATGCTGTGCTGGACTGTGGGCTGGTTAGTGGGTTGTGTTCCTGACCCTGAACTCAGAGTGTGTGTCTGGTAGTGACCGGCTCTGCTTCCACACTGTTCAGCAGCTCTAACAGTGGTTCTCCACTGCTGCTGTGTCCAATAACAGAGCATTCACTTACAGTACTGGGCTTCCCGCGTCTCCTTCTGTGTCCAGACGTCTCAGTATGTTTCAGTTTCATATTGATAAGAGGTTCTCTAAGTATATATATAGGTGTATAATTTGATCTGGGCTTCTAAAGTAGTGATTGTAAGCAGAGCACCAGTAAAATAAACAGGTTGTGAATGAGTGTTCATGTGCAGTAGCGCTGTTCAGCCAGCAGAGGGAGTAAGAGGACTGAGTTGGTGACTTCAGGAAGTTTTTCACTTAAGTTTATGAGTTCAAACTGAAGGCCTGTCTCTATTATTCACAGTTTTCCACTGAAAAATGATTGTGGTTAAATTTTCAGACAGAGGTAAAATATTGTCTATTTCAAAAAATGATCAGCTTAAAGTCCTAAAATAAATACATTCTCAAAAATGTAATGATTTATTAACTGTGCTCAACTCTGAAAATGTAATAAATTACCAATAATGTAATTCGGTTTTACATCATCAGAAAAACATTCTTACATTATGAGGTGAAATAGTTGTTATTACTTGTAGCGATTCTGTAGTTTTATTATATCATCTATTATATTATTTTATTAGGTTTTGCAAGGAGAAACACTATTTTTTCTTTTAGCCACCTTACAATAAGACAAACCCTTATAAAGTTATTTATGCATGTGTAAAATGGGCGTCAGTGAGCTGTTCTGTCTTATGAATATGTGATGAAGCTGTATCAGGTTTAGTGCTGACTGATGGAGAAGACTGAATAATCAGCATCCGGAGTTTCAGCAGTATGAATGAATGTGGGCTCACTATCTGCAGGTAACAGGTCATTGTTGCCTTTCTTATATGTGTGTTATAACTGTTTATGAATGAGCTTTAAGGTGTTTGTTTCCTTAGTAATAACCTTTAATAAACTAATGTAAAACCGTTCAGTCTTACTGAGGTCTTAGTGTAAAGTCTTAAAGTTGTAAAGTACCGTGTTGTGAATGACATGATGTGATGAATCACGTTTAATATCAATACATGAACTAACAAGGTAAAATAATCTGTTTTGATTGTAGGTTGACTTTCACATCCTGCTTATAAGTTTCATGATGGAACCTCCTGAATTCAGCAATGGAGAACCCAGCAGTGTGTCTGTGAAGAGTGACCGGTCCATGGAGGAACCTCCTAGATTCAGCAGAGGACGAAAACGCAGCTGTGTGTCTGTGAAGAGTGACCGGTCCATGGAGGAACCTCCTAGATTCAGCAGAGGACGAAAACGCAGCTGTGTGTCTGTGAAGAGTGACCGGTCCATGGAGGAACCTCCTAGATTCAGCAGAGGACGAAAACGCAGCTGTGTGTCTGTGAAGAGTGACCGGTCCATGGAGGAACCTCCTAGATTCAGCAGAGGAGGAGGAGAACCCAGCTGTGTGTCTATGAACCCAGAGTGAGTGCGAATGATGAGTTCCTGACTTACGATTATCAGTAGCAAATAAACCAGTTTATAAAATAAACTCAACAAGGCTTAAAATACTGATGTTTTGCCGACTGTTACACAGTTTACTCATGAAAGAAACGTGAACATCTTAAATTATCTATCAATGCTTTGTAACGAACCTCTCTGAAAAAGGGTCTGATTACTTTATCTGAAGGGGACTCTTATCTAGCAGCGTGTAACTTTGCACAGAATGGAATCACAGCCTTATACTGTGCGCACAACGTATGTATTTACACTCGTAATATATACAAAACACACATATAGGCATCATCCAGTGTTACATTCATGAAGTCCTTGAGTAAGAACTGTCCACTGAGAACTGTCCACTGAGAACTGTCCACTGTCTGAGTCTGAATCAGGGCTTTAATCTCTGCTTGAAAGGAAACAAAGGACTGATCTCACCCAGTGAGCAGCTCGAGTCCAAAAGTGTTGCTACAGCTTCAGATGGTCAGTTGAAGTCGGTGCAAAGTGGTTAGATGATCCTAGTCCTTAAGGCCCATGTAGAGGTCCAACATCAAAGGAGAGTGTTTGGTCAGCGACCCTCCATTCCATTGTCTGTAATCCGTCCCATAACAGTTCAGAAAGGTAGTAAAATAAAGTCCTTCTACAACACAGCAGAACACCATCAATGTTCTTATCAAACTAATGATCAAACTTATCAAATCTTATTAAAATATCACACTTTTCAATAAACACATTTTCGTTTGTATAAATGTTCTTTTGTACTGACATTGAGCATAAAACCTCTGGTTTCTCAGTATAAGGACTAAACAAACAAACAAACAAACAAAAAGCAGCCGCGCCCCACTGTTTGTAACACGCAGTTCACTTAAAAATCCATCCATCATTTTTTTGCATTAGCCAATCTAAGGGTCTGGCTGCAGACCTGCACTCTCAGCCTGACCTGCGCTCTCAGACTGACCTGCACTCTCAGCCTGACCTGCACTCTCAGCCTGACCTGCACCCTCAGACTGACCTGCACAGCCAGCCTGACCTGCGCTCTTAGCCTGACCTGCACCGCCAACCTGACCTGCACCACCAGCCTGACCTGCACTCTCAGACTGACCTGCGCTCTCAGCCTGACCTGCGCTCTCAGCCTGACCTGCACTCTCAGCCTGACCTGCGCTCTCAGCCTGACCTGCACTCTCAGACTGACCTGCGCTCTCAGCCTGACCTGCACTCTCAGCCTGACCTGCACCGCCAAACTGACCTGCACTCTCAGCCTGACCTGCACTCTCAGACTGACCTGCACTCTCAGCCTGACTTGCACCGACAACCTGACCTGCACCGCCAGCCTGTTAACTGGACAACAAGAGCTACACTGAATGTATATTAACGCTGTTATACTAATTATAAGGTAATTAAATATGGAAACTTTCAAAATAAAACCACGATGATAAAACATAATGTCAGGTTCATTCGCAGAAAAATGAACAAACTACTGAAACCCATGTAAGCCAGACTGAAGACGATCAGAACCGTTAGGAATGAAACCTGATGGTTTTGCTTCCTAAAGGGAATCGGCCTGATGGTTGCCTTTAGAGATTTTAGGAAATGAACAACTGTATATGGAATCAGTCCCAGAACAGCTGATTAAATGATCTGAATCCCTTACACTGTGATATCAACCCAGAACACCATTAGACTACTGAAAACCACCAGGAACCGACAGACACTTTTAATGGGCTCTATGACTGTTTTCAGCAGGGAGGGACATTAAATGTCTTTCTAGCTGAGTTATGGATGAAAAGTGGATTAAGTGATGAAATCGCCAAGCAGAAGCAGCCAAACAGTAACCTGTAATCTGGATGTTGTGAGAAGGGGAAATTCTGCAGACCGGAGACCTAAAATCACCATAAGCTCTAAACACTGAAGGCAAACAGTTCCATTAGGAACCGAGAGGCTATGAATGAACTTTTAGTGAACCTTTTAGATATTGACCCTGCAGGATCCCCAGACTCTGAAAAACCACAGTGTGTGTCTGAAACTCTGTGACAGTGTGTTTAGATGTGAGTCTGTCAGTCTTTAAAGTGTTTTCAGAGTTTCTGCTGTACAGTCAGTATAAGATGCTGTTATGGATGTTATCAGTGCTGCTCATGCTGTCTGTGTGATGCTGTGCTGGACTGTGGGCTGGTTAGTGGGTTGTGTTCCTGACCCTGAACTCAGAGTGTGTGTCTGGTAGTGACCGGCTCTGCTTCCACACTGTTCAGCAGCTCTAACAGTGGTTCTCCACTGCTGCTGTGTCCAATAACAGAGCATTCACTTACAGTACTGGGCTTCCCGCGTCTCCTTCTGTGTCCAGACGTCTCAGTATGTTTCAGTTTCATATTGATAAGAGGTTCTCTAAGTATATATAGGTGCATAATTTGATTTGGGCTTCTAAAGTAGTGACTGTAAGCAGAGCATCAGTAAAATAAACAGGCTGTGAATGAGTGTTCATGTGCAGTAGCGCTGTTCAGCCAGCAGAGGGAGTAAGAGGACTGCAGAGCAGCATGGAAGCGTTAGAGGAAAAGATCTGGTCATGATTTAAAGATCAGAGAACTGTAGAACCCAATATTGTGAAATATGGTAAAGAAATAGATCTGCATGTATTTTATATATGTGAGATACGTTTCACAGATATTGTTTCATTCCAAAATGTCTGAAGCTCATTAAGCAGAAATGTGTTTTTTGGCCATTTTCGTTTGAAAAAATGATCAGCTTAAATTCCTAAAATAAATACATTCTGATTAAAAATGATTTATTACACATGGTCAATTCTGAAAATATAATGAATTACAAATCATGTAATTAGGTTATACATTATCAGAAAAACATTATTTGTTACATTATGAGTTGAATTAGTTGTTATTACGACCCCATTTCCAAAAAAGTTGGGACGCTGTGCAAAATTTAAATAAAAACAAAATGCAATGATTTACAAATCATTTAAACCCTATATTTAATTGATAGTATAGTACAAGGGCAACATGTCAAATATTGAAACTGAGAAATTTTATTGTGAGAATTATATGCCCATTTTGAATTTAATGCCAGCAGCACATTTTGAAAAAGTTGGGACGGGGACAACAAAAGACTGGGGACGTTGCGTCATGTTACAAAAACACCTGGTGGTTAATTGGCAGCAGGTTTGTAACATGACTGGGTATAAAAAAGCATCTCAGAGAGGCGGAGTCTTTCAGAAGTAAAGTGGGGGTTTACCACTCTGAAAGACTGCGCGGGCAAATAGTGCAACATTTCAAAAATAACATTTCTCAATGTAAAATACAAAAAAACTTGAGGATTTCATCGTCTACAGTACATAATATCATTAAAATATTCAGGGAATTCAGAGAAATCTCTGTATGTGAGGGGCAAAGCCAAAAACCAGTATTTGCTGGCCGTGATTTTTGGGCCCTCAGGCAGCACTGCATTAAAAACAGACATGATTCTGTAGTGGAAATCACTGCATGGGCTCAGAAACACTTCTGAAAAACATTCTGTGAACACAGTTTGGCACTGCAATCACAAATGCAAGTTAAAACTCTACCATGCAAAGAAGAAGCCAAATATAAACAGAATCCAGAAACACTGTCACCTTCTCTGGGCCTGAGCTCATTTAAAATGGACTGAGGGGAAGTGGAAAAGTGTCCTGTGGTCTAACGAATTAACATTTGAAATTCTTTTTGGAAATCATGGACACTGTGTCCTCCGGGCTAAAGACCACTCAGCTTGTTATCAGCGCACAGTTCAAAAGCCAGTATTCATGATGGTTTAGGGGGACATTAGTGCACATTAGAGCACGTATTACAACAGCATTGCTCCGTATTAAAAGAGTCCAGGTGCTAAACTGACCTGCCTGCAGTCCAGATCTGTCACCACTGGTAATATTTGGCGCATTATGAAATGAAAAATACAACAAAGGAGACCCTGAACTGATGAGCAGCTGAAATCCTGTATTAAACAAGAACAGAAAACATTTCACTTTCTAAACTACAGCAGCGTCTCCTCAGTTCCCAAACGCTTACAGAGTGTTGTTAAAGAAGAGGTGATGAAACTCAGTGGTAAACATCCCGTCCCAAGTCTTTTGAAACATGTTGTTGGCTCAAATTCTCAATGCGCATATATTTTTCAAAAAAACAATAGTATTTCTCAGTTTCAACATTTGATACGTTGTCTTTGTAGTATTTTCAATAAAAAATGGGTTTTAAATGATTTGCACATCATTACATTCTGTTTTTATTTACATTTTGCACAACGTCCAAACTTTCATGGAAATGGGGTTGTACTTGTAACTATTACATAGTCGTATTATATCATTGATCTATTTATTATATTACAGTGGTTGATTCCAGTTTTGGAATAATGCAGATTTTATTACATTTCTGTTTTTTTATTGCATTATTGGTAAATTACTACATTATTTGGCCGTGCAAAAAAATTGCAATTACATATAATTACAAATGAGTTTTAAGGTGTTTATGCCCTTCTTAACAACCTTTAATAATCTAATTTAAAACCATTCAGTCTTACTGAGGTCTTATTGTAAAGTGGTATTGTCTTTTAAATGACATGATATGATGAATCATGTTGAATACCAAGTACATTTACTAACAAAGTAAAAAAAGATCTGTTTTTCATTTCCAGTTAACTTTAACACCCTGTTTATTAGGTCCATGATGAACCCGTATACACTCAGCAATGGAAGAGAACCCAGCTGCGTGTCTATGAAGAGTGACCGGTCCATTGGAGACCCTCCTGCATTCAGCAGAGGGGGAGGAGAACCCAGCTGCGTGTCTATGAAGAGTGACCAGTCCATTGGAGACCCTCCTGCATTCAGCAATGGAAGAGAGACCAGCTGCGTCTATGAAGTGACCGGTCCATGGAGAACCTCCTGCATTCAGCATGGAAGAGACCGCTGGTGTCTATGAGATGACCGGTCCATTGGAGAACCTCCTGCATTCAGCAATGGAAGAGAGACCAGCTGCGTGTCTATGAAGAGTGACCGGTCCATTGGAGAACCTCCTGCATTCAGCAATGGAAGAGAGACCAGCTGCGTGTCTATGAAGAGTGACGGTCATTGGAGAACCTCCTGCATTCAGCAATGGAAGAGAGACCAGGTGTGTGTCTATGAAGAGTGACCGGTCCATTGGAGAACCTCCTGCATTCAGCAGAAGAGGAGGAGAACCCAGCTGCGTGTCTATGAAGAGTGACCGGTCGATTGGAGAGCCTCCTGCATTCAGCAGAAGAGGAGGAGAACCCAGCAGTGTGTCTATGAAGAGTGACCGGTCCATTGGAGAACCTCCTGCATTCAGCAATGGAAGAGAGACCAGCTGCGTGTCTGTGAAGAGTGACCGGTCCATTGGAGAACCTCCTGCATTCAGCAATGGAAGAGAGACCAGGTGTGTGTCTATGAAGAGTGACCGGTCCATTGGAGACCCTCCTGCATTCAGCAGAGGAGGAGAAAAACCCAGCTGTATGTCTATGAAGAGTGACCAGTCCATTGGAGACCCTCCTGCATTTCAGCAGAGGAGGAGAAAAACCCAGCTGTCTGTCTATGAAGAGTGACCGTCCATTGGAGACCCTCCTGCATTCAGCAGAGGAGGAGAAGAACCCAGCTGTGTGTCCACAGGCCAGCCTCCTGGTTCCAGCAGTGAACCTGTGCCCTCTGACTCAGAGTGAGTTACTACCTTTCAGTGTAACACTGATGAGTAATGAAGCGATAGTTTAAGGCCTTTAGCAGACACAGCACAGCTCCCTGTTTATTGTTTATGACTGTGATGTTTATGAAAAGCTAAGCAGCAAAGCTAATATGAAAGTGTGAAGGGTGAATTTCTAACTTATGATTATCAGCAGTAAATAAATCCATTTTACAAAAATAAACTAAGAAATAAAGATTAAAAGATATTTAAAAGATATTTTTTGTGTATTTTGTATACTATATATACTTCCAACTGTATTACTTTAACTTCAAGACAATTTTTTATACAATAACATTAATATTAATGGTTGTTTTGCATACAATATTAATACCTTCCCTTTCAGACAACAGTAAAACTCTGGCAGAAGGGTGACTTCCTCTTAGTTCGACCAGATGGCAGCAATAGATGACCAATATATGTCTAATTCTCTCCTCTTTCACCGTAAAGTGGGTGGTCATAATCTCAGATGAAGCTGCCACAAAATATACCTCCACCAGTCACAAGAATGATGTGTCTTTTTTGCCCACATAGCTTTAACAAATCTGCGCTCCCCACTTCCCACGTCTCTTTATTCCAGTCTGAGAAACTTAGTTAACTAGCGAGTAAAAGCTAACCCAACCAGCAGAACCAAAAGATAGCAAGCAAGTTTATCTGTGTCCATCTTTCTGTGTGTCTGTGGTTCTTTCAGTTGGTTCATCCAGCTGCCAGACTTCCGTGAGATTTAACTCCCTGCATTAAAGTGAATAAAAAACTTCTTTAAGCTGTTGCCAAATTTTAATGAGCCATGAACACAGCAGCGTAGCAGGGAACACAGCCTGCATATGTGGAGTAGAGATGTGCATTCTGATAATTTTGATATTCAGGGATCCATAACAGTAAAAAACATAAAATCAATAAAAGCTGCACTATCACAGCCTTCTCAGTCACATCCTTAACAACGTCCAGACAGTTCTCAGACAGATCTGATCAGCAGTTTTAAGAGGTTTTTTCATTAAAACGTTGAGGAAAGTTTAATATAACACTCAATTTTAGTTTCGTATGAACATTTCTTAACATTGAAAGGTAAAACCTAAACTTTTCCATATGACTGTATGTGAGAACAGTATGTGATATTTCCTCCTTAATCTGTGCTTTTTTGTATTGAGTCATGTTAAAATCCACTGTAAAATACTAGACATTGATTTCTATATTAATGTGCTCTGAAATCCTCATCAATTAAAAAACTCCACCTTCCTCTTTTTCTACTCCGACAACTGCAGTTTGCCATGTTCAGATGTTTCAAATATTATTTAATAAACTGAGAGGCTGTTTGTGCACAATTTGTAGAAGATTTGCATGTGTTACTGAACATGTTTAAGAACATTGCAGTAAGGTTCCCATCAGCTTCTTACCTGGAGATTTACTGCCTGACTAGTTCAGGTGGTATTTTTTATGGGCTGATATTCTGATATATTCTGCTATCGGCACATTGTTGAAGGATAACAGCTGTAGTGCTACAGATTATGCAAACTGTAAACACGCTGGTAATCCTCATTCATGAATGAGAGAATAAGTTATTGAGGTGTTTTTTACTCTTAGTGTAATTTGAAGTCTGGGTCATGGGGTCCTGATGCAAAACACAGGCAAACCTACAGCATATTTAACAGATTATTATGATTATTTATGTTGATGTTTGTGTTTCTGTGTTTGATCCTCTCAGGCTGAACTCACTGCAGATAAACACTCTGGTGGAGGAAACTGAAAACCTGCATCTGGATTCTTATCAACCAGTGAACGACGTCCTGAACAGAGTCTTAGAGACACACAAAACCAGCATGAAGAACAAGTACGAGAGCTTATTTGAGGGAATCAGAACTGAAGAGAATAAAACCCTCCTGAACAGGATTTACACACAGCTCTACATCATAGAGGGAGAGAGTGAAGGAGTGAATGAAGAACATGAGGTTCTACAGATGGACAGAACATCCAGTAAATACATACAAGACTTTCCAATCAACTGCTTAGATATCTTTAAAGAAGAAACAGAAAAGGGGAACATTAGAGCTGTGAAAGCTAAACGTATCCAAAAAGGAAGAAAAGAGAATAAAAAAACAAAACAGCGAAAGATCAAAGCTGTTCTGACTAAAGGAATCGCTGGAATTGGAAAAACTGTCTCTGTGCAGAAGTTCATTCTGGACTGGGCTGAAGGAAAAGCCAATCAGGATGTAGAGCTCATGTTTGTGCTTCCGTTCCGGGAGCTGAACCTGATTAAAGATGATCAATACAGTCTTCATGGACTTCTGTGTGGTTTCCATCCTGAGCTCAAAGATCTGGACCCAGAGATTTATGATCAGATCAAAGCTGTGTTTATATTTGATGGTCTGGATGAAAGCAGAATTCCACTGGACTTTGAAGAGTGTGAGAAAGTATCTGACATCACCATGACATCATCAGTGGGTGTGTTGATGACAAACCTCATCAAAGGAGAGCTGCTTCCCTCTGCTCTGATCTGGATCACCTCCCGACCAGCAGCAGCCAATCAGATCCCTCCTAAATACATCAACCGTGTGACAGAGATTCAGGGATTCAGTGACCCACAGAAGGAGGAGTACTTCAGGAAGAGGATCAGTGATGAAGACCAAGCCCAGAGAATCATCTCCCACATTAAGACAGCGAGGAGCCTCCACATCATGTGCCACATTCCAGTCTTCTGCTGGATCTCAGCCACTGTTCTTCAGAGAATCATGAAACAGCCTCATACAGAAATCCCTAAAACTCTGACTGAAATGTACTCACACTTCCTGATCACTCAGACCAACATGAAGAACGAGAAGTATGAGGAGAAACATGAGAGAGACCAAAGGAACCTGCTGGAGTCCAACAGAATCATGATACTGAAACTGGCCAAACTGGCTTTCACACAGCTGATGAAGGGCAATGTGATGTTCTATGAAGAGGACCTGAGAGAGAACGGCATTGATGTCACTGATGCCTCAGTGTATTCTGGGATTTTCACTGAGATCTTTAGGAAGGAGGAATGTGTGCTTTTCCAGAAGAAGGTCTACAGCTTTGTTCATCTGAGCTTTCAGGAGTTTCTGGCTGCTGTTTTTGTGATTCACTGCTACGAGTGCAAAATCATGAAGGAACTGCAGTGTTTTAAACCACAGTACAGAGGGTGGTCTGATAATGATCCACTGGATGATCTGCTGGTAGGAGCAGTGGATAAAGCCTTAAAGAGTCAGAATGGACACCTGGATCTTTTCCTCCGTTTTCTGCTGGGCAACTTGCTGGAGTCCAATCAGGAACTCCTACAGGGTCTACTGACACAGATACAGAGACAACCAGAGAGAATTAAATGGCACATCAAGAATATAATAACAGATACAGATAAACGAGATCACATCTCAGCTGAGAGATCCATTAATCTGTTCTTCTGTCTGTCTGAAATGAATGACCAGACTCTCTTCGGACAGATTGAGGAGTATCTAAAATCAGAGAAACACTCAGAGGGGAAACTCTCTCCTGCACAGTGTTCAGCAGTAGCCTATATGATCCTGAACTCAGAGGAGGTTCTGGATGAGCTGGATGTGAAGAAATACACATCATCAGAGGAGGGTTATAGGAGACTGATCCCAGCTGTGACCGTCTGCAGAAAAGCCCTGTGAGTGTTATTTCCACATAAATGTAACGTCTGTTATATTTAGATTAATATAACTGTTGATATTTGAATATTGATGGTTTGTTATGATAACAGATCCACTAAAAGGTTAGAAATATTTTTTAGTTATTTAATGTTCAGGTTTTTGAGTCTTTCAGCAGTACATTCATTTTCCACTTTACCATAAACCCTCCTTTGTAGCTTAACCTTGTTGGTGTGAGTTGCAGACTGTAGCCCAGGGGTGCACAACTCACAGTCCTGGAGGGTCAGTGTCCAGCAGAGTTTGGTGTATTAGCTGCTTTTTACCACTGTTTATGTGCGTTACTGTTATTCAGCTTTAAACATATTTTGTTCTGAATGCCTGAGATTAAATTATTGATGCACCGAAATTAACATTTTTGTCCAAAACCAAAACCGAACAAATTTAAACATTCGGCCGAAGGCCATATACCGAATACTGAACACGGTTTTTCAGTGTTTCATTAATTTTGCCACTTTTTTCATCATTGCATAGATTAAATAGGTTAAATGTATTTTTGTCTTGTTTTTTTCACTAAACTGCAATTTAAAAATATTTATTGAACATTTTTATCATCACAGCAGACACACCAACAAAGCTCAATATGACTTAAATAAATTAGCAAAGAAATAATAATAATTTGCCCCCCCCCCAATAAAATTAAAAATAAAATGTCAATATTATGGAGGACCAGATTTGCCCAATTGAAAAATAAATCAAATTAAAAAATAAATGGCTCAGTAAATTAATCAATAAATAAAAAAACTAAATAAAGTATATATTGCTTATTGTGATTGTAATTATACACATATTTCCTTTTTCTACAGTTATATATTTCTCAATTCATTTATTTCTGTAGTATTTATTGTTTTATTAATGCCATTTTCATATATTTTTCCATATCTATATTTTTAACAATTGTTCGCTTTAGTCATTGATTCATGTATTTATTTATTTATTTATTTTATCATTAATTCATTTATTTATTTCTGTATTTCTTCGTTCATATGATAATGAGGGGGCGTGTTTTCACGTTCAGGCTTAGCCATCAAGCCCAGGAGGAGAAGAGCTGATTAAACTGTTCTTTCACTCCTTAAAGAGCTGCAACGTCACGAACAAACAGACCTGCTGATGAGTAACTCTCAATGGCTCCACAGGCCGGATGTGAGAAGGGCGTCCGAATGTCTGAGTTTGATCTGAATTCTGCAGAAAAAGCCGATTATTCGCCTCCTCTAAAGCTCTGAACACTATGGGGTCGACATCTGAATCAGCAGAGGCAGCTAAATGGAGCAGACTGTCCCCACAGCCTCCACACGAACCAGTAAACAACCCAGACCTGCATTTTCAGCCAGACCAGCCGAGACTCTCAGATCTCTGACTGTCTGCTGCTGTAAGAAGCCGTTACTGTACTGTCTGGTCCTTAGTTACCGCTGAGAGAGCAAGACATGAACAATCCATCTACAGAGTCTGACATCGATCAACCGATAGGAATATTAAGACGCTGTTACATCATTGACTGACAGCCCCTTTATTAGCATAAGAACAAGGAAATACAGAAATAAATATAGAAATAAATAAATATAGAAATTAATAGTTATGGAAATAAATTAATAAAATAAATTAAGAGAAAAACAGAAAAAAATGTAAAGAAACATAAATACCTAAATAAATTAGTGAGAAGGGGAAATTACTAAACAGACATATAAATAAATGCAGACATTAATTTATATAAGATTTTATTTATTAATATATTAATTGTTATGTATATTTATTTATTTTTAGATTTAATTATCATTATTCATTATTGCAATTCTACTTCATATATTAATTTACTTCAGTCATTTATTTTCAATTTGGCAAATCTGCTCCATAGTTTATATGATACTAAAATTGAGTATTATATTAAACATTTAGCAAAGTTTCAATTAGGGCTGAGCGATGTGCCCAAAAATGTAATCACAAGAAAATGCATATCAGTTGATATTGATAATAAACATAAATAACAAAAAAAAAACACAAAAATTAGTGAGAAGAGGAAATTACTAAATAGACATAAATAAATGCAGACATACTAATTAATGTATTTTTTCTTTATTGATGTATTAATTGTTATGTATATTTATTTATTTTTAGATTTATCATCATTATTCTTTGCAGTTCTACTTCATATATTAATTTACTGAGTCATTTTTATTTATTTTTCAGTTTGTCAAATCTGGTCCTCCATAAATAAGCCTTGTGTCGTGGGTCTGCAAACGGCCACTCTGGGGTCATTCTCTGACCCTTTAAATGCTTCCACACAGCAGACATGTTTGCTGCATTTACACAGAGCGCCTCACTCCACGCTGGTTGGTTTCATGGCGTTGTTGTAAAATGGGGGTCTGAGTTTCTTTAAGGGGGATACAGCAGCGCACCGAGAGAAAGAGAGAGAGAGAAGGAGCGCTGAGAAGCTGCTGTCTGTCTGCCTCGCTGTAGTGCTACTTAAACACAGCGGCTCTGTTCTTTTCTTTACTCTTTCTGGAGTCACGTTTGGCTCGAATGCTGAAAATGGAATAAAACCCACAGCTTCACAGCTCGTTCAGAATCCTGACAGCCTGTGGGTAGAAACTGTTCATTAGCCGGGTTGTTCTGGCCTGAATGCTGCGGAATCTCCTGCCTGATGGCTGGATGGTGAACAGGCCGTGTGCTGGGTGACGCTGTCTGACCGGATCTGTTTGATCTTCCTGAGGCAGCAGGACTGATAGACGTCCTGTAAGGCTGGTAGTTTGTTGCCTATGATGGCTTCTGCCGTCCTCACCACTCCTTTAAGGGCCTTGCGGTTGCAGGCGGTGCAGCTGCTGTACCAGACAGTGATGCAGCCCGTGAGGAAGCTCTCTATGGTGCATCTGTAGAAGCTGGAGAGGATCTGAGGAGGCAGACCAAACTTCCTGAGCCTACGCAGGAAGAAGAGACGCTGACGGGCAGATCTCACGATAGCGTTGGTGTGGAGGGACCAGGTGAGGTCATCAGTGAGGTGTACGCTGAGGACCTTCACACTGCTGACTCTCCACTTCGGCTCCAAGATGATGTTAGATGTGTGTTTGGCTACACAGTCATGTGTATACAGGGAGTACAGGAGGGGGCTGAGCACACATCCCTGGGGAGCCCCTGTGCTCAGAGTCAGTGTGGAGGAGAAGCTGTTCCCAACTTTCTCCACCTGGGGTCGCTCGTCAGGAAGTCCAGTATCCAGCTGCAGAGATGAGAGTTCAAACCCAAGTCTGTGAGCTTAGAAATGAGTCTGGCAGGGATGATTGTGTTGAATGCTGAGCTGTAATCTATGAGCAGCATTCTTACATATGTGTTCTTTCTGTCCAGGTGTGTGAGAGCAGTGTGTACTGTTGGTCGTCTGTGGATCTGTTGGAGCGGTATGCAGATTAGTGAGGGTCCATGGTGGCTGGAAGTGTTGAGCAGATGTGAGCTTTGACCAGCCGCTCGAAGCTCTTCATCACTGTAGATGTCAGTGCAACAGGGCGGTAGTCATTCAGGCAGGTGACAGAGGATTTCTTGGGGACTGGAACAATTGTGGTTTCCTGAAAGCACGTGGGAATCACTAGCCACGTTTACATGCAGCCTGATAATCCGTTAATAATCCGACTAATAGCTCAATCGGAATAGAACACGTCCATGTAAACACCTCAATCGGAATAGTCTAGTCCGATTGAGGCCATTCAGAATACAGTTTCTATCCGATTGAACGAGGTGGGTAAACCTCTAAATAATCCGATAAATAGAAGAATAATAGCCATGTAAACGCCTGAATCCGATTACATTCGAATCGGAACGTGTAAGTATGTTCTGATCATGTGCGTCGCGTCATGACGAAAGTTTATTCCATTCAACATGGCGGAGCAGAAACTGGTCTGCAGAGGAGATGAAGAAGCTTTGATCTTTAAAAGACGGCGGTGGGACGGACGTCCAGCTTATGTGTCTCAGAACACGACGTCTTCCTCTCGGCCTTCTTTAATAAGGACATGTGAGGTACGGTTTCCTGAGTCTGACATCATTTTAAAACATTAAAAACTCCAGCACGCCAACTGGAAACTCATCTCACGCAGACTGGACCTCACGTGATGTTCGCTGTCATAGTAACGTTTACTCTAAGCGCTGCTCCACGCATGCGCGTCATTTTGCATCGGATTACTTGTAGTGAGCATGTAAACGAAGATTTTCCATCAAGTTGTTGAATAGAGCGCATATAAACACCTCAGTCTGAGTCTGTAATCGGATTGTATTCAATTGGATTGGCAAAAATCTTTGCATGTAAACACAGCCACTGTCAGTCTTAAGGAGAGGTTAAAGACGTCAGTGAAAATCTCTGTCACAGATCACACCTTCATTGTAGGCAGTGATGGTGCACAGGCCACTCCACATACGTCTGAGATCAGAGCCAAGATAGTTGGATTCCACTCTGTCCCTGTAGCTCCTTTTGGCCAGCCTGATGGTCCTCTGAAGGTCATATCTGGCCTTCTTGTAGCTAGCCGGGTCACCAGAGTTGTAGGCAGCAGCCCGAGCTCTTGGTTTGGCTCGAACTTCAGCATTGAAAACCTATTTGGCCAAACATCGAAAGTGTTTTTTGCCATTTTCGGCTGAATCATTTCGTTGCCGAACATTTGGTGCATCCCTAGATTAAATAGCTCTGAAATGTTGCAGATTACTTAAAGCCAAAATAGGTAGGTATTCTTTTAATCAGTATTTTTGTGAGTGATTTCTAGTCAGTGTGTTCAATAATCTTACCAGCTCCTGAACAGGAACACACAAGCAGTAACAGCAGAGGAGGCAAAGTAGCAGTGTAGCATTAGATTCCAGCAGATGTGACTCCACATCTGTTTCATTTTTGTTTGGGTAAATTCCAAATGTGTAAATTTACAAACATGCAGGAGACGTTCACAGAATTCACCAACATGGTCCCAGGAGTGTAAAGAGTACTGAAAATCCGTACTCAAGT